CAAATGAGACCCAGTAGGGAGTGAGATGTTACTAGGATGCCTCTCTAAATGAGAGCTCTCGAGTACTGTCGCAACCGATCTAGTCTAGGATAAGGCTTTTGTCCAGATGGGTTACTAGTAGAGGACTTCAAGCTTATTTCAGGTTTTGAAAACGATAAATTGCTGGGAACGTCTACTTAATGAGCGCGGTTCCATCTTACTCAGCCTGTGTGGCACAGCAATAAGGAGGCACGTTCCATAGGAAGCGTGCAGATTTCAAGAAGACTGGAGGGGACATCTAGGCGTGCTTATTGTACCCATCCTTGAGTGCGATAAGAGGGAGAAGAAGTGGAAAGATAGCGACATCAATCGAGAAGTCATGGAAAAGTCAGGAAGACTCAAATTGTCCACTTCAAATTTATGTGAACTTAGCATTCCTACCGTTCATACCAAATAGTCTTTTCGTGTAACCCTAAAATATTATACATTAAAATTTGCAAAAAGGGAATGAGAGCAGCAACGGCTCCACTAGTAAGTCGCAAGGATGTGTAGAAAAAACTAATGTGGATAACAAATCAGTAGAAATGCTTCTCCGCCGTTGCCATCGCAGCCAGCCCATCCAATCATCTATAGTGCCTGTAGTCACGTTGAAATTCTCTCCCAAAGTGGTCGTCCCCGTTGGTTGAAAGCACCAGCCTCTAGTTCCCTATAAACGAATGCATTCCCTTCATCGCATAATTGCCCCTTTTTGGCTGCTTTTTCTGATTGTCGGAAAAGTTTCTCCGCACTTTGGAAATTTTTGATTTGTTCTTCTTCTGCACAATTTAAAATTAACGAATATATCAGCTATCATAATCCACTATGCATTACCATTTATCGAGTAACTTGTCTGCACAAGCTGGTCCTGATTCTTGTCCGACAGCGCCAAATTCAACGCGGAGGACTACGCAGAAAGTGCCCAAACTTTGATATTGTGCCTATCTAGCTTGCAAAGTGTGGATGAGCAGAGCGGGAAGTAGAGTGGGTTCTATTTCCACTTAAGGCTTCTACGACGCACTCCAAATGATTGCAGCAGACTGGCACGGCTTGGCGTTGTGGCTTTCGTCGTTACCG